AAGTGCAAAAACAAAAGGCAAAAGTGCATAAATAGGAATGGTAGATACTTTGATTAAATAAATATATTATATTTTGAAAATAAATACTTCAGGTTATTCCCTTACAAAACGCCAATTTAAATTTTTTAGGACCTAATTATTCAGACTTATATTTATAATGACAGCACCATTTTTGGCTGCTTATTTAGAAAAAAACAACGTAAACAAAAATAGTTTCTACAAAATAAAAAAATAACACGAAAGAAAACAAAGGGCAATTTAATTTCTATATAGGTACATGATTTCTCGAGAAAACAAAGCTTGATTTCTATATAGGAACAAAACCCATGAATTTCCCGGGAATTCTCGAATTTGAATTCCAATGAACCCTAGTGTTAATCCATCGTTCAAACTTAATGTCGGTAAGTTTGTGTAGATTTTCTCTGTACAATAGCCACTCATTTAACAGGTGTGTAGGTAATTCATCATCCCAGTTTATACCAGAAAGCCATAATTTTTGAATAAATATTTTTGCTCTGATAACCACTGGAGCTAACCATCCAAGTGGATCAAAAATACGAGAGATGTCAGATATAACATTTCTTTTGGTTACTGGTATCTTTAGTTGAGGTAACTGTACAACATATTCGAATTCATCACTACTTCGATTCCAAGTAAGGCCAAGAATTTTCATTATACTATCTACATTTAACTGTATATTTCCTTTCAAAGCTATATTTTCGTCAGTTAAATGCTTGTTTGAATCTAAACAAGTATCAGCTTCTAATTCCCAAAATCTCTTTAATAACTCATCTTCATTTACATGAGAAATGTGCATACTTATTGGATTTTTTGTCATTGATGAACCTATATTTACAGAGCCAGAAATTATCCAGCCAAGCGAAGTTCGCTGAGCCATAGGTACACCTGGAGGTCCTTTAATTACACCATCTAACAAAATCTGACTGTAAACATCAGCTCCAAGAAGAATGTCGATTTTGTTTGGTTTCCGAAATGATGGATCTGCTAGTTCTATGTTTGAGAACTCCGACCATAAATCTACAATAATTTGCTTTTCAGGAAGGAATGAAGTTACTTTACTCAAAACAAAAGCCTGTACTTTAAATGTAAAGTTGGAATCAAGAAGTGACTGTAGTGTAACCGAAACCATAGACTTAGAGGTCTCGTTGACCTCTAAGTTGAGTTTGAGGTCGAAAAACAGGCTGTGACACTAGTGGCTTCATCTTGAGACGATGATGATGTGGACGCGTGTGCTACGACGTCTTGTTCAACCGATTGATTAGCAATACCTGTAGTGTCGGTTGAATTATGATTGGTAATATTTTTTGGATAACACACAACACCCCTATATGAAAAAAACTTGAGAAAGAATTTCAACAGGGATGTTTACAGTACCGGATTTATCTTCCGCAAAGCGAGTAGCTAAGAAACAGAATTGGAACACTCAATTACCAAAACATGATTCTGAAGCGTATGACGATAATAATCCTCACGAGGAGGAGGAGAGTACGGAGGAGACCACAGAGACGAATCGGGATATGCCTGATATATGGGATCAGCAGATCAGAAAGGAATCCCTCCGGAGGGGCAGCTCGAAGGAGAATACTGATATGGATTCCAACTACCCACACGATTCGGATGACGAGAACAGCATGGATTATTCAGATGAGGGGGCTGTCGCGGCACATCAGGAGAGTGGAGTAATATCCAAAGTAGTAACACAGATGCTAGACAACTCGGGGAAATTTGATCTGAAGCACATTAATGACAGAAAGATAGAGGTGGATTTATCGTTCTTGGAGTCTAATTCTGCAGTTTACAGAGTCAGAGATATATTAGAAGAAGCGATAAAAAAAATACACCTCAATTCCAGCAGTAGTATCTGTGGAGAAAGGCAGGACTCAGAAATCATATGTATTCAATGTAACAAATGAATATTTATCTCCTGCATCAGACTCTTCAAGCCCCGTCGTTACAGATAGGAAATCTCCCCCTGGGAGAAGAGATGTCAGTATGCCTAGTAGTACAATCAATGAAAATCCTCTAATCAAAAGTTTATCATCTGGGATTAAGTTGATTCCCAAATTTTTAGGACTTCCAATGAAAGTGATCAAGCTTGGAGATTTGGATCTGACACTTGAGAGGTTAAATAATCTTCAGAAGAGACATATAGGCTCAACTCCTAATCAGCTTTTAGATCTGGCACTCAAGTCGTCAGGACATTTAACAAAGCTTAAAAATTTATACAGATTTCCTGACTTATAGTCTTATGTAATAAGATATAACACCATCTCTGTGAAAAAAAAAAAAAAAATTACCAATCATAATTCAACCGACACTACAGGTATTGCTAATCAATCGGTTGAACAAGACGTCGTAGCACACGCGTCCACATCATCATCGTCTCAAGATGAAGCCACTAGTGTCACAGCCTGTTTTTCGACCTCAAACTGTCAAGTATTACTTGCAACAGCATTAGTAAGCGCACAGTCGAAATCAGGTAATGGTATCACACTTCGGTGTTTAATAGATCCAGACTAGACTTTGGGTCACTCACAGCATACAAAAAGAAAAACTTAAAATATCGCGTTAATTACGAGTACGAGTTCCGCTGTGGCACCAGTGCTACACGGTGCTAAACGGTTCGAAGTATTAATGATGTGTATGGCAGTGGTCTCGCAAAAGAAAACACGTGCATTTTTAGTTCCAACGTTTTCGTTCTGGAAATTTCGACCTGCAAAGCAATCTCTGTGGGCGGCCGGAATCCAAGATTGATAATGAAGAATTGAATACTATTGTGGAAGCGGATCCATCGCAAACCCGTCCGAGTTAGCAGCAGGCTGCGGTGTTAGGGGCCGTTCAAGTATTACGAAAGCACTATAGGGGGGCGGGGGGTCTTTTCGTTGCTTATTTTGGATGACATGGGGGTGGGGGAGTCTGTATGATGATTACGTCATCGGTCGTAATTTACTTTTTTACACGAATGGCAACCCTCACATTGTCTTTGCTAAAAAAAACAATACATTAATTGAGAGATGTTTACGTAAGCATGGGTGGAGGGGGTAAGAGCTTTGCTTACTTTTGCTGACAACGGGGGATGGGGGGTAAATAATTGTGATAAATCTGCTTACGTAATACTTGAACAGCCCCTTAGTGACAAAACTGTTTTAATCCTTTAGCAAATTGGGAAGGTGAAAAAGCTTGAAAAGTGGGTCCCTCATGAATTCAATGGAGTAAATCGACAAACGCGCGTAGCCTGCTGCGTTACATTAATCAACCGGCATAATAATGAAGGGATTTTAAATCAAATCATCTCCTGTGGTGGAAAGTGGATCTTGTACGATAATCGGAAACGCTCATTGCAATGGCTAAACCCTGGCGAACCAACCAAATCCTGCCCCAAGCGAAATATGGCTAAAAAAATGTTACTTGTGAACGTTTGGTGGACTATTTCCGGTGTTGTTCACTTCAGCTTTCTTAAATCTGGCCAGACGATTACGGCAAATGTGTATTGTCAGCAATTGAGAAACCATGATGGAAAAGCTAGCTGCTAAACAACCGAGGCTGGTCAATCGCCAAGAGCGCTTGACCACATACTGCACAACAGACAGTTACCAAATTAGAAGAGGTTCAATTGGAAAAATTACCATTTTTTCGAAATTTGGATAACTTCTTCCAAGGGAAAAAATTTAACTCCGATGGGGCAGTCCAAAGTGCAAAAACAAAAGGCAAAAGTGCATAAATAGGAATGGTAGATACTTTGATTAAATAAATATATTATATTTTGAAAATAAATACTTCAGGTTATTCCCTTACAAAACGCCAATTTAAATTTTTTAGGACCTAATTATTCAGACTTATATTTATAATGACAGCACCATTTTTGGCTGCTTATTTAGAAAAAAACAACGTAAACAAAAATAGTTTCTACAAAATAAAAAAATAACACGAAAGAAAACAAAAACGTTAATATCTTAAATTATTGCGCCGCCTCGCAAGAAAACAAAGGGCAATTTAATTTCTATATAGGTACATGATTTCTCGAGTTCTCGAGCTTGATTTCCCGGGAACAAAACCCATGAATTTCCCGGGAATTCTCGAACCGAGAATTCCCGGGAATGAACCCCAATTGGGTATAATTTGTATATAGTTTTTACTTATTTTTGTAAAATATTTATATTTCGCCATAATATTGGGCAGTACAGCAAACCCAATATATATATAATAATAGATATTGAATTGTTAGGTTCGTAGATAGGGCATCAATAAAAGAGGAAAGTAAAATATTATATCACAATTATATTTCTCGATGAAGTCTAAATTTACAGTCTTTATTTTCTATTGTTGTAACGATGACAAGGAATGTACAATTTTCAAATTTATATTTTCTTTATACAAACTAAAGAGTTATTAACATCCTCCACACCAGAAGATAATTAATTAATCAAATATGTATTCTAACTGTAGAACTACAACAGTTTAAAAACAATTCATAAAATTCACAATAATTATAAGTACTAGTATATGTGGCTGAGTATACGTATATGTCAATAATGTGTGTATGCAAATTTAAAATATTTGAACAATAATAAAAAAAAACATATTTAAACATTTACAACAAATACCTACTTGGAATCTTTATGTGTCGACCCGTACGAGTAGTCTGCCCAACCTGTGTGGAAATGGGAACAACATTATTTACCGACCTCGATACCTCTATATTACTATCACCATTCTCCGACCTTGGACGAGACAATACTACCGAAGGATCACTAACTTCTAATTGATATAGTTTTTGGAATGGTCGTATTTTCAACCCCGTTGAAGTTTTTAGTTGAGCCGTTCTACAAACCTGATCTCGACCTGTGAAAATATTTGTCACCACACCTAATGGCCATTTAATCCTTTTTTCATCAGTCTCGATCAATACAACGTCACCTATTTTCAAGTCATTTGTCTTTTCTTTACCTTTCTGAACCAATGTCGTCAAATATTCAGTTTTAAACCTTTGTCGGAAATCTTCTCTTAATTTCTCTCAATCTTTTATTTAAACTATTTCTGTCTAATTCGTCTAAATCTGTGACATCAGATTGTAGTATGGGTTGTAAAATGTGTATGGGTTTTAATGGTTCTAACGAATTACTTTTCTCATCTTCGATATAAGTTAAAGGCCGTCCATTTAACGTCGCTTCACAATCACAAAGTATAGTTTGAAGCTCTTCATATGTCACAGATGACTTGCCTAATACTCTTTTCAATAAATCCTTCAAAATTCGAATTAACCGTTCCCAAAATCCACCCCACCACGCAGCAGTAGGTGCATTAAGTTTCCATTTTATACCCTGTATAACAAAATCTTGTTCAACTTTTGTCCAGTCTATTTCTGATAGTAAATTTTTTGTTCCGACAAAATTTGTACCATTGTCACTCATCATAATGCTGACTCTTCCTCGTCGAGCTATGAACCGACGAAAGGTCATCATAAATGCTTCAGTCGAGAGTGATCTGGTTGCTTCTAAATGTACAGCTCTGTAGACTGCACATGTATACAATACGATCCAGCACTTTTGTCCATCGCGTAAAATCAGTGGTCCAGCTAAATCTACACCAGTAATTTCAAAAGGAGCAGAACAACGTGTACGCTCTACAGGTAATGGAGCAGTCGATACCTGTACATGTTTGGCTCTGTAGCGTTTACATACACAGCAACGTGAAATTATTGCCTTTACTAATTGTCTAGCACCTATAATCCAGTACTTACTGCGTAAATCAGCTAACACGGTATTTAATCCAGCGTGTTGCAACAGAGCGTGTCTTTGTTCCACCAGTCTATGTATTAAAATATTCCTCGCTGGTAGTATAACTGGATACTTCGTGCTTTCTGGAAAGTCGGTAAGTAAAAGCTTTGTTTTTGTTCTTATTAAATTATTCTTGTCATAAAAATTACTTATTCCCTTAATTTTACTTTTAATAAATTCTTTACTTTCTACTTGAATAAGCTTGAAGATTCTTCTTTCGCTTTCCTCATATTCTATATAACTTAAATCTCCCTTTAACTTTGTTTCATTTCGAGTGTTGTATAAAAATCTAAGTATCCATGCCATCATCCTTATATTTTTCTTATACTTAGAAAAGTAAGAAAACCATTTATTTGTTACTATTTCTTCTGAACATATGTTAGTACTACAAATTGTTGATTTTTTCAGCTCGCGGTTTACTTCTTCATTATCTACGGAAACAGGTAAGTTTATCCATTTATTATTTTCCGATTTCAGCCATTGCGGACCTTCCAGCCAACCAGAAGTCAATAGAATTGCAGCATCACATCCTCGTGATGGTAAGTCAGCCCAGTTAGAATTTCCTGGAATATGAAACCAATTATTAACATCAGTATTCTTCCGTATTTCTCTAACTCTGTTACCTACAAACGTATTCCATTGTAGTTCCTTTTTAATCCAGCACAATGCTACATTTGAATCAGTCCAGCAATATTCCTCACATTCTAATTTCAAATCTCTACGTGACTCTGCCAATAATCTTGATCCAATTAATGCAGCTAACAGTTCTAAACGTGGAATAGATGGTTTTTTAGGAGGTGCAATTCTTGATTTCGCTGAAATCAATCGTATTGTTATTTTGCCTTTATAGTCAGACCTTAAGAATATGCATGCAGCGTATGCATTACTGCTGGCGTCACAAAACATATGTAATTGTAATATACATTCAGAAAATGGACCTTCTGTAAGTCGCCTAGGAATCTTACAATGTTTAAGTTGGCATAAACTTGTACACCATAATTCAAATTTTTCATTTAAATCACTAGGCAGAGGACTGTCCCATTCCAAATTACGACACCATGTCTCCTGAAGGATAAGTCGAGGTATTAATGTAACAGCTGATGTAAAACCAATAGGATCATAAATTTTTTGAGCTATAGATAATAGACTTCGTTTAGTAACAACAATTTTATTTAAGTCACAAAATGATGACATATTACAACTAAATGTATCGCTTGATGTATGCCAATGGAGTCCTAAAACCGAAATAACCTTGTCTGTATTTTTATGTGACGTAGGAGATATAACCCATTGTCTAAGATCAAACTTGGCTTGATTCATAATGACTTTAGCCTCCTTTTCGAATCTCCATACATCTTCTTCACTATCCAAACTAGTGACTACATTATCTACATAAAAACACTCAGATAATATATCTGCTGTATCTCGATTGTAATTACTGACGTTATTGAGATGATGTTGTATTGTAGCCGATAATAAAAATGGGCTACATGTTAAACCAAAAACTACTCTACGATGTCTAAAAGTGATTAATTTATTATCCTTATCCCACCATAAAAATCTTAACATATCTCTATCTAAAGGTGTAATCGATATTTGTAAAAAAGCCTTAGCTATATCTGCTGTAATTCCTATTCCTCCTTTCCTAAATCCATTCAGTAGCTTAGGTATTTTATCCAGCATATTGATGCCAGTATCAAGACATATATTCAGCGACTTACCATATTTGTCTTTAGCCGACGCGTCAAATACCGGTCGAATTTTAGTCGTGAGACTTTCTTCTTTAATGATTGGTCTATGAGGTAAATAATGTGATGAACCTTTGTGTTCATCTGGGTTCGTAACTTTCTCTATAATGCCCAGGTTAAGCCATTCATCAAACACTTTATCATAGCTCTCATAGATGTCAGACGATTGTAATTTTTTCGTTACTGACTGTAGACGTCGATAAGCTAAATCGTAGTTATTTAATAATTCATTATGACCTACCTTCCACGGCAAAAATACTTCATAACGACCCTCGTCGTTAACCGACACATTCTCCTCAAAGTTTGCCAGTACCTCTAATTTTGCCTTTTGTTTTGTCTTCGTTTCTATTGGGTCACGAATACCTAATGTTTCAAGACACCAAAAGTTACTAACTGCATCTGAGGAACAAAACATAGCTACTTGAGTTGACATCATGTTTATTGTAGACGACATATGAGCTTTACCTTGTAATGTCCACCCAAGTTTAGTGTGTATTGCCACTAACGAATCATATAATCTCACCAGATGACCTGTAAGAATCAGACCTGAAAAATCAGCACCAATAAGTAATCCTATATCATCAGAAGTTTGATTGGTGTCTGTTAGTGTTATGTTGTGTCTAGTAAGTAAGTCTTGAATATCATATTTATTATATTTAGGAATGTTACGACATATACAAGATTGTCCTAATGCAGATAATTTAAAATTAAAGGATTTATCTACACTACTAATATTTATATCATAGACATTGAAATTTTTTGAAGATATTTGTACATCACCAAATAGAGTTTGATTTAAAACTTCGTTACCAATACTAGGGATGTTGAGACGTTTAACAATATCTTCTCTGATGTAAGAACGTTGTGCACCATTGTCAAACAGAACACGTACCATTTCATGTTGTTTCCCGTTGCTAACAATCACTGTCACTGTCTGTAGCAATGTCGTCCCTTGACCGTGTCTCGGTACCGCCGACAAATTAGCTGCGGTACTCATTACTGTACTATCATTGGGCTCCTCTTTCTTTCCATTGCATAAAACAACAGCATGACGTCGCCCACACACAATACATTTAATAAATGTTTTGCATACCTTTGCGTGATGTCCTTTTTTAAGACAAATTGTACACATCTTTTGTTTTTTAAGATACTCACGTCGATCATCAATAGACATCCGTTGTAGTTTGTAACACTCTAATGTTTCGTGGTTTCCTTTCTCACACCATATACATGAAGGTTTTGATATAGAAACTGGTTTTGACTTCGTCAAGAGACAGCGGGCTGTAGGCTCCATCATAAGGTGTTCTTTCACTCTTCCTCCTTTCTCTTCAATCGACTTAGCCATACTAACTCTTTGTTGTGTCTCTACTTCTCTCTTCAAAAAATCTAACAATCCAGTTAATTCAGTTGTAACATCTGTTGTACCTTTTGCTCTTTCCCATAACTGTAAAATTTCCTGTGGTAAAGCACTTTCAATCATGGGAAGCAGAAAGGCAGCAAATTTGTCTTTAGTAACTCCCAAAGTATCTAACGCTCGTAATTGTGTGGGTGCGTGGATTTACCATTGCCAATAATTCTCTGACGTAAACTTGTATCAGTAATTCTTCCCTGGCAAATCTGGACTTCAACTGTTCCAAACATTCCTTATAGGACGATGGAATGAATCCCTCCACTAATCGTCTTACCTCAGTATTGGGGGTCATGGATTGTAATAAATACTGGTACTTATCAGTGGGGTCGATATTGGGATCTCTATCAATTTTAGAGAACTGACCCCAATAATTCAGCCAGTTCTTCAAATTACCGTCAAAATGTACAAATTCCAGCTTGGGGAGTAAAATACTTTTCTTACTTACGTTTCCTTCCCTCGAAGCTAACATATTTTTGTACAAAGTATCTCATCATCACTGCTTCTTAATAAACTCCTTATTTCTTTATCTAATGTAGTTAATTGAGCTTGCAGTTCATCTAGTTTTTTGTACTGTATTTTAATGTCGACAGAAAATTCCGGGCTATCGAATTTAGTTTCAAAGGAACTTACAGATCTTGTGAATATTGTTCTTATGACTTTTCTCTCACGTTTCATCGCCGCAATCTCGTTTACTGATTCGGTCGCCATAATATTGGGCAGTACAGTAAACCCAATATATATATAATAATAGATATTGAATTGTTAGGTTCGTAGATAGGGCATCAATAAAAGAGGAAAGTAAAAACTACGGACCCCGGGGGTACAGCCCCTGAGGTCGCTCTGCATGTTACAATAAGTGCAAATGAATATGAGTCTGGATACAGATTGCTCTTCCGGATGGATAGAGAATACAAAGTCGAAAAGGAAACGTGTCTCAGCTAATCGCGTCTGCAAACATTGTAATAAAAACGCAGAAAATGTAAGGGCATTGAGGGCTGAAAAATTCAATTAAATTCATGTCAATATAGTAAAGTCCATGATAATGAATTGTTTGAAAATCCATCTAAATCGACAGTTACTAATAATGTTACTGTTGTGGACTTCGTAGTATATTGCTGGCCACTTAAAAGCTACTTTTATACCTTTAAAAAGTATTGTATAAATTTGATTTGTTAATTTTGTGACGTAAGAAAAACATACGATTTTATTTTACTCTTTTTTGCATCGATTTATTTTACATAATTATAGAGTAGATGCAATAGCTTTCTGCACATAAAGAACCGACATATAATATATTATCCACCTCAGTTACTAATAAAGATACTAATTCCCAGAGCAAAAGTGACTCAAGTCAATCACAAAACTCAGTGAGCAGGTCACTTCACTTTATAATTTACAAGATGCAGCACCATATTTAGTCTATGTTCAAAAGGAAACTTCAAGTCCTGATGATAGAACTACACTCCATCCTACATTTGGAAGATTTTTACAAAAATATTCATATAGAAACATTGTTAATGGTAGTCTTAAAAGAAAAGGCAGAAATAGACTGTCTATAACTTTCTCTAATTATATAGATGCCAATTCGTTTATTAATAGTCCCGAATTAGTGACACAAAAATTAAAAGCATTTGTTCCATCCTATAATTTAACAAGGACAGGTAATAGTAAAAGGGGTGCCTCCAAATTGGTCTCCGCAGGAGGTAATGGCAAGTGTTACTGTTCCTTTAGGATGTAGTGAGATATTAAAAGTCAGACGTATTAAAAGGAAAAGTATTGTTAATAGATGTTCAGAATAAGTTGATACAGAAACAGTTGTTATTACTTTCTATGGATAAGTTTTACAAAAAGAATATACATTTGTTATAACTCATTGCCTGTTAACATATATATTTATCCCACAATCCAATGCTATAATTGCTGTAGATATGGTCATGGAAAAACTCAATGTCGGTCAACACCACGTTGTTTTAAATGTGGTAAGGACCATTCTGGTGATACGTGTAAGTCAGATGAGGAATATTCTTGCTGTCTTTGTCGTGGAGATCATTAGGCGAACAGTAAGAAATGCCCTGAATTATGGCGACAAACAGCCATCAAGGATACTATGGCTAAAAGCTGTATTTCATATGCGGAGGCAAGTAAATTACATGGTCCTATCGTAAAATATATGCCGATACTGTAAAAATTAAGTCCTTCCACCATTATTCAGGAATTAATAGGAGACCACAAACAAATATCTTCTCAAGTAAATAAATCCTATACGAAAATGATTAATTTAAAACGTCATCAACCAACACAATCATCATATTGTTATGAATCATAACTTATGATCATAAAGTACACGAAGAATTAGTAAAAGATTATAACCCACTTGCTCACGAGCAGGCAGATGGTTGTGGATATAAGAATACAAATAAAAATACTCAAAATGATTCACTCACAGATTTAATATTGTCTTTTATAAAATTGTTAACACAAGCAAATTTTGTATTACCGTCCAATGCTGCTACTTTAATTAATGTTCTCCTTCAATTTTTTAACTCAAACAAAAGTGGACAATTTAGCTCAAGTGTTCCAGTGGAATTGTCGCAGCATAGTAAATAAAAAAAGGGATCTTATCTATTTAATTAATAAATACGAACCTATTATTTGTTCCCTTCGAGAGACATGGCTAAAACCCGGATCTATTTTTAGAATACCTGGTTATGCCTGTCTCAGAGAGGATAGAACTGATGGTTATGTCGGTGTAACCATACTAATCAAACATACCTTATCATATACACACATACCAACATCAAATCATAATTGTAACTTCTCTATAATTGCTGTTAAAGTTGACAATATATGTTATGTATCTGTCTATATTCCACATCCTTCATCTTCTATTTTTTGTGAAATTAATACTATACTTTCATCTCTTCCACGACCCATTGATGGGAGATTTTAATTGTCAGCATCAATCATGGGGTAGTTCAATAAATAACTTACACAGCAATGAGATTTTAGATATAATTTATACGCATAATCTGTGCATTTTAAATACAGGTATTCCTACACACCGTACTTTACCTACTGAAGGTTTTAGTGCCCCAGATTTATCAATAAGCACACCAAATTTGGCTTAATCACTTACATGGTCCTGTTTTTCAGTTTCATATGGGAGTGATTACTTTCCTATATTAAATCACCTGCCCATTTAGTAAAAAATCTTTCAAAAAACATTCATCTCATTTTAAATATAACATACATATTGGTGATTGGGATAAATTAAAATATTTAAAAATAATATGATTAGTAATAAAATTCATTCATTGTCAAATATTTCTAAAGGAAATGCAACCATTTGTTCAAATGCTTTTAGTGATTTATTAAGTGAATTTGCTGATGAGATCTTTCCCCGAAAGTGTGGAAGATTAAGTAAAATATCATCACCACCATGGTGGGACAGATAGTGTGTCTTTGATTTTGGTACTGTCTTGTCATCAGATCATATAAAATATTAACATAATTATAATGGTGTAGCATTACTTAAATTATTACATACATTTAAGTGGGAAAAAATACTTTCTGATAAAGAAAAATATTTCGACCAGTCTGCTTTATTATATAAAAAAATTTCTTCTGCAGGTCGGACCTTATACACTGATAGCCTCACATTTACACTTACCTGAGTTGGGTAGTGATAGCTGCCCATCGGGTCATCATGGAGTCACCCTTTCCACTCACAGAGAGGAGCTGTTCGGGGACTGACTAATGATATATCAATGGCTGATGCCTGCCTGTTTGGCGATTGAATGGTGGTTAGACTAACATCATTTAATACACATAAGTCAAGTTCATCTATGAGATTGTATATGTACCTCTACTGTTGTTTGTATGGCAACCAAACAAAATATAATGCGCATTAAAAGCACCCATAATCAATCATAATCACCAAAGCACCAAAAATCAATAAATTCGTTTGTTGTTACAATATTCGCAGAGATTGAAAAAGTTTGAAGCTAAATACTAGGAACTTTGTCACCTTGTTGACGGTAAGTGTTTTTCGTTTCTTATTCGTTTAAGGTTTATTTATATGACAGGGTAATTAAAATTTGAAGATTTGTTGACAAAATTGAGATGTGGGGGTGGTCCAATACTGATTCCGTTTGACTGTGATTTTCTAGTAATTGACCATGGTGGTCCATTACCGAATTACCGATTGACTATGATTTTCTAGTAAATGACCATGGTGGTCAACTTTTGATTAAGTTCTGTATCTTGTAAATATGCTGCATATAATAATTAATTAAAATAAACTATTTTATTTACTTTAACAATAGATTGATTTTCTTTAGTAGTTGACTAACTGTATGGTACGAATTTATGGCTATGGTCTACTTATTACTAAAACCAATTTTTCATCTTGTAGAAGCCTGGGAAAAGGGGCGCATTCCTAAATTATACTGAAGCTGAATGCTTGCAGCAGTGAACGATGTTCGTCTTCATAAAACACCAATACGAACGGCTGCAAAAAAGTTCGGTGTACCAAGAATAACGCTTACAAATAAAGTAAAAGGGAAGTCACCGATGGAACGAAAATGGGTCCGACATCCATCCTTACACCAGAAGAGGAGCATAAAATATGCGACTGGGTGCAAAAAATGGCAAAAGCGGGTTTTCCTGTGACAACCGAACAGTTAATTGTGAGTGTAGAGAAATACTTAAAGGAAATAAAACGTCCATGTGTCTTATTCAAGCATGGAAGACCAGGTAGAACATGGGTAAAGGCATTTATTCGGAGAAATCCGACAATTTCCAAGAGGATATCACAAAATTTGACAGCATCGAGAGCCAGGGTAACAGGTGATCACCTATCAGAATGGTACAAACGTGTGTATAAGGAGTTGGAAGATAGTGGCCATGCTGATATATTGAATGATGCATCGCGCATTTTTAATTGCGATGAGACAGCATTTTTTTTAGCACCAAAAGGACCTAAAGTGCTTGCTAGGAAAGGTGAAAAAAATGTTTACCAGCAGGTAAATGCTGATGACAAGGAATGTTTAACTGTGTTGGTAACCGGAAATGCAAACGGTTCCCTAGCCCCTACCACGATATTGTTCAGCTATAAGCGGATACCTCAAGAAATTGCAGATAACTTTCCTTCAGACTGGGGCATAGGAAAAACCGACTCAGGATGGATGACGTGTGAAGCATTCTTTGAATTTGTGGCTGATATATTTTATCCTTGGCTGATTAAAAATGAAATAACTTTACCGGTTATTCTCTTTGTTGATGGACACATATCTCATTTATCACTTCAAACTAGCCAGTTTTGTGAAGAAAAAGGAATCGTGTTAGTAGCACTCTACCCTAATGCAACCCATTTAATTCAGCCAATGGATGTGGCAGTATTTAAGCCACTAAAAGAAGCCTGGAGGAGGCATGTACAAAATTGGAGAATTGATAAAATAAAAAATGACGAGCCTCATATGCTTAAGAAAAAAGATTTTGCCAAGTTATTACACGAGGTAATGGGCAATACCATAAGTAAATCAATTTTGGCAAATGGATTTAAGAAATGTGGCTTATTTCCGTGGAACCCATTGGAGGTAAAAGTCCCACTTGAGAGTGTTAGCGAAAAGCAGGACATAAGCGAACAAATTCATTATCTGAAAGGGGGCTTAAATTTTTTAAGCGAATCTATCAGTCCAGAAAAATTAGTAGCATTTGATGCAACTCTGGATGAATGGTCAGGTGATTTGGCTGATTTATCGCTGTTCAATTTGTGGAAAAAAACAAAAGATGAACTGAAAAGACTACAACAATTAAACCAAATTATTGATTCTACATTAGCAGGGGCTGAATCGTTAGGTGTTTCTGTAGAAGAGGCCCAATTATGTGATCTGAATTTTGAAGGATTTGACACATCAGGCATCACCATCGATGCGTCAGCATCTAATAATAATAATGGTGTTTTGGAAACCACAATGGAAACAACAGCAACTGCGTTACCTAATACTTTTGATGACAACATGTTAGTCACAATCCCAGGATCACCAACAATTAGCGTTGTTGAAGGTGCACTTAAAACCACTATAGATCAATCGGACATCATTGCTCCTACTGACATTTGAATTGAATTCCGGTATCAATAGTGTTATTAGCACTATTTCTGTCGCTGTACCGGATAATGTTCCCAGTCCCTTTAAAAAACATTTCTTGGCCAACATCATATTAAAAAGGAAACGCCTAAATCACGTCCCAAGGAAAGATTACCCACAATTGTTTCAGGAAAAAGTTATCAGGAATATCTACAGAAGAAATTAAAGCAAAAAGAAGATCTTGAACGAATAAAAGTAGAAAAGGCTGCTGAAAAGCTTAGAAAGAAAGAAAAAAAAAGAGTCATTAAAGAGAATCAAGACTCTCACAAAATTAGAATCAACCAAAATAAAGCGGGTAAAACCTGCGATTCTCTCCCTCCAGTTCAGACTCGGATGCTGTGGTCTCTTCAGGAGAAAGTGTGATTGAGTCAGAAAATGAGATTGTAAGAGAATCACCAATTGTGGGATTAAAACCCCCGCAAAAAGTAGATGGAGAATTTGTCATATTTAAGTACGACAGTAACTTTTATCCTGGAAAAGTACTTAAAGCTACGAAAACAGCAACAATCTCATCTATGAAATCAAATGGTCGTTTGTGGAAATGGCCCGAACATAAAGATGTGCTCGACTATCCCTGGGATGCAGTAGTTGCTCATATAGAGGCTCCCAAGAAGACCAGTTCTACGAGAAATGTATTTGATGTTCCAGAGATACATTCCTTGATATGATAAATTTGGCAAAAAGTTTGACATTTACGCTTTGTGTTTGACAGTGTCCTTTTGTTTTATAACCATCTGTTGGAGCTTTTAAAACCTTGTTTTTATTTAAATTATAGGCTTAAAAAGGCCTAATTATTATTATATTTCAAATAAAACGTTTTCTTTTCATCTTATTTTGCTTTTTATACCCAATTAAAATTGTAGCATCTGAGTGGTCACCTACTGATGCAAAATATGGTCATCTTCTAGTTTTTAGATGGTCAACTACTAAATTTCTAATATTAGAATATTTTTTTTTTTTTTTTAATTTTATTCGACCATATACGTGGTGAAATACTTGTTCATATGTTAAAACACTTTTCACAGGGTTTCCAAAAACAGAAGAAAGAAACTTACTGAATTCGTATGATAATTAAAGTCAAACATTTAAAAAGAATATTCTGTCTCCTTAAGTGGTCATCTACTGATACTTTTACCTTAAGTCAAGTTCATCTATGAGATTGTATATGTACCTCTACTGTTGATTGTATGGCAACCAAACAAAATATAATGCGCATTAAAATCACCCATAATGAGACATGGCTTGGGAGTATTAAGTAGCACTTTTTTAAATTTGTTTGTATCAAATCTTCCATTAGGAAGACAATACACACATAGTATGTTTAATTTGCCTATGGATGTTTCTAATGCAATACATATATTCTAAATTAATTCATAAAAAGTAGTAGTTACGATGTTATATTTGAAATTTTCTTACAAACATTCAACCATCTATCCATCCATACTCTATTGTGGTTGTCACCACAATGGATACAAACTATTTCTTCTACATCACATTATTTGTATGAGTGATGACCAGCACATGATGACCACATCTGTGAGCTACGGCATACTTTAGCTGAATGGTTGAACTTCAGACATTTGTAGCACTGGACTAATGGTGGAATATAAGTATGTACAGGATATCTAAATAATTGTATGTAGACATATTGTGGTAAAGTGGTAGCTGCAAATGTGACGGCTACAATGCCCAATGGAGATGGTTTTCCTTCTACTTTTTTCATAAACCGTTTGATGGATCACTTCGGTATCGCAATTGTTACTTTTATAAATTTCCTTGTTGGACATGTCGATTCGTATCTGATAAGAGTTTTTTCTGTAATACAGGGTGTCCGGTGGCAGAATTAGGATTTGAATTTCGAATATCTCCGTAACCGTTGAGCGGAGGAGCGGGGAGGGGGCCGCGTTGGCTTCGTCATCCGTGCGGGTTATTTAGTCGCGATGTCGCAGTGGACAGGTGAACAACGTGCTTTCGCAATCGAAGCGTATTTCAAAGCCAATGATTCATGTGCAATTGCTCGTCGAAGATTTTGTTCACGGTACAATATTCGACGGTTACTAGACGCCCCAAGTGAAGATTTGATTCGATTATAGGTGCGAAGGTTCCGGGCAACAAGTTCAGCAGAAAACAACTCACGACCGGGGCCCAGCCGGACGTCGAGAACAAATGAAAACATTGAACTCGTCGCGTCCAGTTTGCGGGATAATCCGCGTCAGTCAGTTCGCAAGAGAGCGGCTGCCTTGGGGCTTCCAAAAACTATAGTGCACGAGATATTGAAGAAGGATCTTAAATTTCACCCATTTAAAATTCAAATTGTGCAAGCGCTTAAGCCTAATGATTACAATATGCGTAAAAACTTCTGTGAGACAATGTTGGAGCGATTTCGCACGGTGAACACTATTGTTTGGAGTGATGAAGCCCATTTTCATTTAAATGGAAGTGTAAATAAGCAGAATTGTCGTTATTGGTCCCCTAAACGACAAAATCCCCGCTTAAAACATCAACAGCCACTTCACAGTCCCAAAGTGACGGTTTGGTGTGCATTATCAAGCAGGGGGATAATTGAGCCGTATTTTTTTGAAAATCATCAAGAGCAAGCAATATCTGTAGACGGTGTTGCTTATAGGCGAATGCTTAATGATTATTTTGTTCCAAAATTGAGAGAACATCCTTTCTTCACTTCGCAGACATGGTTTCAGCAAGATGGCGCCACGCCTCACACTGCTAGGGATACCATAGCGCTACTTCGTGATTTCTTCCCTAACAAACTGATAAGCCGTTTCGGTGACATCCTCTGGCCACCCAGATCCCCGGATCTTACACCAATGGATTTTTTTCTGTGGGGGTATCTCAAAAGTAAAGTCTATGAAACAAGCCCGGCGACTATCTCAGCATTAAAAGAAAATATCGTTCGCGAAGTTCATGGCATCTCGGCGGCACTTCTCCAGCGAGTGGCAAGAAATACTGAAGCCAGATTCCAAGAATGTGTCCGACGTCACGGTCAACATTTAGACGACATAATCTTTAAGATATAAAACCCGCATTTGTCTTCTTTATAATGATTAAAAATATAAATGTATATCTTTCGTAGTTTTTTTGTTATATACATTTTAAATCCTAATTCTGCCACCGGACACCCTGTACATGCTGGTACAAAAGCCTTGAATTTATATTTGTTTAAAAAATTATCTATTTTAAAAAAAATATTGGCTGGTGCGGGCTTTTGAAAGGTCACACGTATTTTATAGGCGTTCACTCGGTGTACACCTGCAATGCTTGCAATTTATGTGTGGATGAACAAATGTGTTCAACGAAGGCTCGAAGTGCGCTGAAACAATATTTACCTGACAAACCCCATAAATGAGGTTTCAAACTTTTTATTCTATGTGATGTATCGGGATATGGGTATAAATTTGAAGTTTACAGTGGAAAACAAATGCTCAGCCAGCGAGCCCCAGTTACTAGCATCACCTAATGTGGTAGTTCGTCTTGCCTGCGACGTGCCTACCAATCAGAACTACCGACTGTTTTTCGATAATTATTACATATCGATCCCGTTTATCGAATATTTGTCCAGACGCGGCATTTTGGCTTTAGGAACTATAAGAAAAAATAGAATTGCAAATTGCCAGATGATTTTTTGTAAAATGGAACCACGCGGTACCTCTATTGAACAGGTCGCTAACTGCAATGGCATTGATGTGACTGTAGTGGCTTGGAGAGATTACAAAATTGTCTAAATTAATTCTCCGGAGATCATGCATTTGCAGATCGGTCAATTTTAGATAATTATTATCCGCTTTTGATTAGCTATATGTAAAAAATACCTAAATGTACGTATTCATTATGCGACTAAATCATTATGTAATAAAGGCGAAAATATTCGCAATATATACAAATTAATATTGTAAAAAGGACAATAGGAATTCTCAAGTGTTTCTTTTGTCAAACTAAAACAATAAATATATTCTGTTTTATAGTCTCTCTTTATTTGACGAATGAAGCCCTTGATTTTTGGAAAAAACCTATACCTATATATAGGTACTATGAAAATACTTCTCATATCTCCAGGGTGGATGACTTATGTGTTGTTAAATAAATTTAATGCTTTAAATTACAGCTTTGGTTTGACAATACCTCATATTTGTGGGTAAATCAATTGGGTCCATATCACTTGGCAGCACCATGCGTAAAATGTACTCTATATCCATCCTGATGCCCGGAGTATTATTCTAAAGGCGAAATAATTTTTGTAAGAATTTTGGTTGCAGGCTCCTACCATTCCGTTTAATCAAATATACAGAAGGGTTTCGGCTGCAATAGGTTAGTGTTGTCAGTTTATACTATATAAATTACCCAAAATGATAATAGGGATGGAGACAAACATGAGGATTGAACATTTTTTTACATAATAAGGTAAAACATTATTGTACAAGACGGGTGTAGCAACCTACAGGCCGAATGAATGAATTTATTTTTACCACATATGTTTATTCACAAAACATTTGTTACAGGTGTAATTCAAGGGCTAAAAATTGTTAAAGAGGGCCAACCAGCAGAAGAAGCTGGTATCAAAATTCGTACATCAAGCAAGCAGAGACTACGAAAAAATGAACATTGTTATTGTTTATTCTTCCAAATGTCACTGTTTTGAATTTTAACATAACGAGTACTGATAACGCACCCCACCCCTAATAGTTTAACGATATTTAATCATCCCCTTCGTTTGTATAAAAAAGTCTCATTGTAATCACGGAGGATATTCTTAAGTTGGTCTTGATTCGTTCATGACCCTGTCTCCAGTACTGAGTGTTCACTGTTCATAATAGTGTAGTCACTCTGTATCATGTTATACTATTATAACAGTGAAAAATAATAATACAGGGTGTCCAGAAAGGGTATCGGGTATTTGTTTTCGCGCCATATTCGAAACGGGGCTTCTAAAGGGAGCGGGGAGGGGTTCGTCGCGTGCGCCATTTTGTGGAGTTTTAGTCACGATGGAACAGTACTCGGGGACGCATCGCGCATTTTGCGTATTATCATAATGGTGCTTCAATAGTGACTGCTCAACGTATGTATCGTGCGGAATATCGTACACGCCACGCGCTAAGTGACGATAGCATTAGAAAATGATCAGGATGTTCGAGAATACAGGTGCGACAGTTAAAATTCAAAACTCTGGTCGTCCTCGTTCAGTTCGCGATAAAGAAACAATTGAAGAAGTTGAGACGTCGGTTCGTCAAAATCCGTCTTTATCAATCCGAAAGCGAAGCCAAGCGTTGAACATCAAAAAAACGTCTTTATATTCGATTTTAAAGAAAGACTTACATTTAAATGCCTATAAAATTCAATTGGTTCAAGAATTGAAGGATACGGACTATGTTAATCGACTGAATTTTGCGAACGAAATGCTGCAGTGATTTAACAACTTTAACAATATACTGTTCAGTGACGAAGCAAATTTTCACCTGAATGGTCATGTTAATAAGCAGAATTGTCGTTACTGGGCAGTGGAGAATCCTAGACAAAAGCATGAACGACCTCTGTATAGCCCAAAGGTCGTTGTTTGGGCCGCTATGTCTGCTAAAGGAATAATTGGTCCTTATTTTCATGAAGGTCGACGAGGCCGAGCAATTAATGTGAATAGTGACCGTTATTGCCATATGTTGCGAAATTTTTTGGTCCCAGAGTTGCAGTTTTCCGGTTTTAATTCAAGAACGTGGTTCCAGCAAGATGGGGCCACTTGCCAAACCTCAAATGACTCAATGGAAATTGTTAATGAACTATTCCCCAATAAAGTCATTTCGAGAAGGGGTAA